GTGCTGGAATCTTCTGATTAAACAAGAGGTGGATTCTTTAAATACCAGTTTACTTTTTACACCTAAATCTGCCTGGAAAACCCCGTTCAGCATGCTGTGACAGTCAGGTTATAAACAACGAATGAGACAGAACAAAAATCACAGAGGAAACACATTAAAGACACATTTACAGTTTTTCATTAAAAAAAAATTTAAAAGGTTTCCATGTCAAGAAGAGATTTAAATGAAGTGGTGAAATTAAAGACCAGGGTGAGGAGGGGGTTGTTCCAGGAAGCAGTTGGTCAGAGAGGTGTAATAAAGGGGCTAAACGCCGGCTGCTAGCTGCCCATCACACACTCACAGCACTCCAGTTGTGGCTGTAATCATTTAACAAACACACATCTTTAATCCTGCTTCCTGAAATACTTCCAGCCTCTCCCAGCTTCTGCTCGTCCCGCTGCCGTCTTCACTGGCGTGCACTTTAACATTACCGTTAACGATAGCATTACCTGGCACAAACAAGACTGCGTCGTTACCTGTAACCGTAACATTAACTCAGGAGAACCTGTAACCCATATTTCATACAGTAATAAAAAGAAAAGAGACATCATAAATGAGCCAAAGTGAGCGATAAAGCAAAATCTGAGAGGAATATTCTGGGAGTGAAGATGGATTTATACAGCGAGGAGGATGAGCCGTGAGAGGGAGGTTAGGAAGAGCTGGCAGTATGCAACGATCACCATCATGCATCGACGGAAACGCCGCATTCACACATGCACTAACTCCACCCGCCAGATCAAAGATAGACGTCTGGACTTCCTCCCAGTATCCGGATACGACCGCTGTCAGCTTGTGCATCAGCGTAACAAACATCAGCTAAAATGAGTCCATGTGTGTTTGACGTTTCGAGGTAAAGACTGCAGTCCGGTGCTTCTACAGCGTCTGAAGTCCGAACCACTGCGCCACAACATAAACACACTGAGTGGAGGGTTATTAACAGCGAGCATAAAGAGACGTAAAGTAGTCCCCGAACAGTCCACTCTATCTCAGCATTTGTCTTAAAACATACAGGGTGGTTTTATGACGTGTTGAGTCATTTTTAACCCACAAAATGCAGATTTCCCACCAGCATTGATGTGTTTCATCACAGTAAAGTCATATAAATGAGTTTACAGCTCAAAAAAACACGTTTAAGTGTCTTTAAACAGACTTTAACCTGCCGGCGTACAAAGTCTGCACACGTGTGAATAGAGCAGGTGATTGTCTGCGAGTGTGGTGCAACTATTTATTATTTATTTACTATAGATACGACCTCCTGCTGCACGCTGTACCCAGACAGACGGAGTATCTCCTGTTGTGTGCTGCATGTGTGAACGGGCAATGGTTGGGTGGAGTTACAGTCAAAGACAGACAATCTACACTTTAAGGCGATGTTGAAGAAATAGGAAAATGCGGATGATGTGTAAGAAAGAAGGAATGCACCAGAAAGCCCTGCAAGCAAGCAAGCATGGTTAAAGTACATCCAGTTCATGCAGAACAACCACAGTCACAACCGAAGCGATGAGGTTAGACGTCACAGTGAAAGAATCCAGGGATCTAAAAACAGCAGCTACTGTATGTGAGGCCTGGCTGACACCTTAATACTCAGAATGTGTTATGAAGGATAGAGAGAACTATATGGTCTGTGGAGGATCAAAGGTCCACAGAGAAGAAAGGAAGAGGTAGAGATTTGGGGGGATAGGGTGGTGTAGTGTGTACCCTCAGACGGTTCAACAGGAGCGTCCGCCTGCAGCTCCTCTCCTGCAGCTTCGGCTATGACCGGAGCGGGGTCCACCAGCTCCTCGCCGCTCTCCGCAGGGACAGAGGCTTCAGCCTCGGCAGCCCCTGCAGCTTCTACGGGGGCTTCAGCAGCTTCTACGGGGTTCAGCAGCTTCTACGGGGGCAGCTTCAACAACTTCTACAGGGGCTTCAACAGGGCCAACTTCTACAGGGGCCTTCAACAGGGGCAGCTTCACAGGGGCTTCAACAGGGGGCAGCTTCTACAGGTGGCTTCAACAGGGGCAGCTTCTACAGGGGCTTCAACAGGGGCAGCTTCCTACAGGGGCAGCTTCCAAAGTGGTTCTTACTGGGCGCTTCCAACAACTTCTGCAGGAGCATCAGTTTTTGGGCTTTTTTCTGGAGTTGCAGCTTCGGTCACAACTTCCTCTGGAGTTTTTTCTTGCTTTTGGGGGGCCATCAGCGGACAAACAGGGAGGTGCAGCGTCTTCTATTTCTTCAAAGTGGGTTCCTCTGCTTCAGCCTGCAACTTCTGGGCTAGTCACAGCGGCCCTCTAGAGCGTCTCGGTGGCGGTGCAGATCACAGGAGCAGGAGTCCCACTATCCTTCCTCAAGCTAACACTGGGTGCTGGCTGCTGTAGGTGCTGGAGCTGCTGGAGGTGGCTGGAGCTGCCCTTCCTGTACAGCCTCCAGCAAACAGAGGCGA